GTGTGGGAAGAACTGACAATAGGGACAAAGAAAAGTGAGCAGTGAAAGGAAGTACTAATTATCTTCAAGAAATAAGAACTCCCCGCCCGCCTCCCAGTACACCACGGTACTCAGCTGTGAGCTTTGTCATCATGAGTTCTGGCTCATGAACATCAGCACACCTTGTGTTGTTAGTTACACTGGTGTGTTTCCTGATATTATGCACAGCTATGCTGGACACATTTATGGCCCAGGTAAGCCTGGGCAGCACCAAGATCGATCTATCTATCTATCTATCTACCTATCTATCTTATAGATGTATCTATCTTAATCATTGAAGACCTCCAAACTCTTATCTGCATCTCCCTCTAGAAGTTTAGCAGTCACAACTCATGATGACAGAAGCTTGAGAGAGAAGCTGCCAACCTGAGGTTTGACTGCCGGTCAGTCTTTAAAAGGTAATTCCTCTAAGAGCTAATTAGGCATGGTTTTGTGGCAGTTGTGGTTCTGTCGGGTTAACTTGCTAGGAATCTGCATCAAAGCACTTGTGTCCAGTGTTTTCCTTACTAAACTCTGTGTCAGGGTGGGAGAAATGATTTGCAGATAAAGGAGGAGGAACCGTATGTCCCCGGTCCTTACAAAACCACTTAGTGTGGGAACAGATGCTGATGCAACTGCTTCATACAAGAGAGACTTTGTCAAGGAAAACAACAATAACCTCATTGCTCGTTGACATGCTTTGTACATTGTCAAAGAGCGTGACTAAATACAAGATAGTGGTATCTAATTAGTGCTGATAGTGCAAACTTTATGGGGAAAACTATCTATCCAAGAGTCAGTGCTACCTTCAGATGCCATTGATGATTTTTTTCTTGTTGCAAGGCTGATAGGTCCAACCCAGCCACTGGGCCAAAGTTACAGGATTTCTGATCATGAAAATGGGCTACGCAGGTTAAGTCAGAAAATCATGTATCACGGGTCCTAAATCAGTAGATTAGGAAAGAGAAAAATTGTCCCTCATTAAAAAGCTAAGACATCTGTCCTTCTTTAAGTGGGCAAACTGAAATTCTACCAGGCTGCAGACAGCTGTTTATGCTACACAGCACTTCTGAGTTAAGCCCTGAGTTAGTGAAGTCAGAATTGTTTCTAGGAAAACAAAAATTCTAATGTGCTTCCCTTTACTTTCGGCCATGTTCTAAGTGGATTAAAGAAGGGAAAAGTAGTTATTAAGTAAGTGTTGTTCTGAAACCGATTGAATTTAGACTGTGAGAGATTACAAAATAAGAATGGTTATAAAATGTTTGTATAGAAATTTGGTTTCATTTGCAACAATTTCAAAATAATGCCCCAAACTTATTCAGATTTATGTAATATACATATTGCCACTGGACACATCTTCAGTTTCTATTTATGTTAATACTTTATCTGACACAGACTAGACTTTATTGTGAGCGTAGCTCCTGTTTGCTTTTTTTTTTTCAAGTACTATTCAGTATGAAGGCCTCTTTACAAAACCCTACTAAGATATATATTTATTGAAGCCTGTGGATTTTTAGGTAGGTGAAAAGTAGAAGAATCTTCTTTTTAAATACTCTTAGGCATGTAAAGCACAAATTACATTTTAGTTTAAATCCACTGTTCCCTTTCTTACCGGGAAGTTGGATATCTCTTAAAGGAAAACTGAGTCTGCTTCAAAGAGCCCAGCACAAATAAACATAACAACTGATCAGATTCTTCAAAAGTAAACAAAAATGTCCTCATGAGTTAAATAAAAAGGAGAGTTGCTGCTTTGACAGCACTTACAAAGAAAAACACTGCTGCGCATTTTCCGATTTCCTACTAAATCCACTAATGAGATGGGACACACAGAGAAGTTACATTTTAATTTGGCTCCCAGCCTATATCATGTCATTACTCACCTCATCCACTTGTTCCCAACTGGGGACAGTTTTGCCCTGTGGGAGAAACTTGGCAATGTCTACAGACATTTTTGGTTCCTAGTCCTGGGGGTGGGGTGCTACCAGCATCTAGTATGTAGAGGCCAGGGATGTACTAAACATTCTGCAATGCACAGGACAGGTCACAACAACAAAGAATTATCTGGTCCAAAGTGTCAATAGTGCTAGGTTGAAAAGCCCTCATCCTAGACCAAAAGGAAATCTTTGGAAACAGTAGAGGTAGCACCTCTTTTTGTTTTGCAGTATATTCTGGTTTCGTTTCCTGTGATGGGGTCAAGTAGAATTGTTTATGCTGTTTCATTGTTGTGATGTCATTGTTTTGCCTCTTTCAAGTGAATGGGTAGGTAGGGCTAACACAGCAGGAAGAAAAATGTGATGTGTCCAATTTGTATTGCTTCGTTTTGCAAGAGTTGAATTACTGTTTACAAAAAGAGTAAACAGTAGAAAATGTTTCTTAGTTATTCCACTATCTCAAGATTTGAAATTTTATTTGATTAATCTAAATATCATTTGTGCCTAATGACATTTATATTTTAACAAATTATGTAACAATTTTGTGTTGACACAAAAAATTCTATATGTATATAAACTTTGGATCTGTTCTTTATTCTATTAATAACCACTGAAAGAATAACTAAAAATGAGACAATTAGGGTATATTTTGTAAATTTACCAAATATTCCTAATGTAGCACCCTGAATTTCATAAAGTAGCTTACTACTTCCCAAGGTTGTATTGTAACCTATATTTGGAGTTTACTGCTTCCTAGGAGTATAGACATTTACCTGCAGTGGAAACCATGAGTGACTGTGATGCCATATCACCAGTGATGAAATCACATTTTTTTAACTTAAGTTTCTCTTTTTTATGCTGATATTGTCACTGCCAGTTCTTTAAAAAACTTCTATTATACCTAAATCTGCCAATGAATGTTAGTTTTCTAATTTAAAAAGATAAATAAATGGAAAACAGGAGAGAGAAGATAAAATCAGAGAAGCAGTCTAGGAGTACAACAACCTAAAATAGGAGTTCAGAGAAAACAATATGGAAAATTTCCCAGAGCTGAAGGAAGTGAGTTTCCAGATTGAAAGGAGTCACCAACTGTCCAGCAAATACATGAAAATAGATGCACACAAGGTATAAACACTGAGGATAAAAAGAAGAATCTATAAGCCTCTGGAAAGAAAAAATAGGCCACATATAAAGGATCAAAAATCAGAACAGTTTCAGTCTTCTCTACCACAGTAACAAAAGCTAGATGACAATGAAGCAATGCCTTCAAAATTCTGGAAAAAAAATTATTTCCAAACTAGAATTCTATATCCAGCCAAACTATCAATCAAATGGGAGGATAAAATGAAGACATTTGCAGGCCTGCAAGGTCTCTTTAAAATGTATCATTTCTCAGTAAACTATTAAGGGAAGTAGTCCACCAAAACAAAGGAGTAAATCAAGAATAAAGAGGATAAAAGCTGAAGACATTTGCAGGCCTGCAAGGTCTCTTTAAAATGTATCATTTCTCAGTAAACTATTAAAGGAAGTAGTCCACCAAAACAAAGGAGTAAATCAAGAATAAAGAGGATAAAAGTACAAATACAGGAGAAAACTGGAAGGAATATCTAGGATGCTAAGAAAGGGAGATACCAGGATGACAGCATGTGGCATCAAGTGTGACTCAAAAGACCAATGTTTTGAAGGTCATTATCCCCAAGAGACAGATGTGCTAAATGCCATCTTCCCCCAGGTTCCTTCTTTTATGACATCAACTTTTCAACCTGACAACATGCAGGTATTAACAAGTTCATCTCATTGCCCTACCCACTGAACTCCCCAGTAGGCGGCCCTTAAACTCCCAGAGAAGTTGAAGCCAGACTGTGATCCAGAGACTCCAGGAGTCTTCACCAAACATTGGCAACAATTGCCCTTTCTTTACCTAGGTAGATATGTACCTGCTTCTCAATTTTTATATTGATCATCTTTAACACTCATATATATAAATAGTTGTTGAACAATAATAATGCAATTGATTGAAGGAAAAAAATAAGAGATTACCAACTGGAAGATGTCTAGTATCTCAATGTAGAGAGGAACAGGAACCAACTAGTCAACATGGGGGTCAGTGTCGTAAGCACAACTGGTTATCAGCAGTATGAGGGAAAGCTGAGTGATCCCTGTAGGTAGGTGGTAGCACGGCTCATTCACAAAGTGCTTGGATGGTGAATCCCTCCCCATCCAACTCACTGGGGTCCAGAGAGGCCAATGGACAAGGCACTGGGTGAACCAAGCAAAAAGAATATAATGTGGACAATTGTGACCACTTCAACTACTATAATTCATTAAGAGCATTTTCTGAGTTGGCACTGTGCTTAGCATAAAGATGCTCTTATTTAATTCACATGGTAATCCTCCAAGATTGGCATTACCATTTGCACATTGTCAAAGTTCAGGGAACTTAGCTAAAACTCCCAAGGTCTTACAGCTGGCAAAAGGCAGAGCTCAGATCCAACCCAGTTCTGCCTGACTCCAGGAGCCCATGCTCCAGACCACTACACTGACCAAGGAAGAAGAGATTGGACCTCAGAAAATTTTGAAAATGTAATCAAAGTAAGCATCCTGACAGCCTAACCTCATTATTCATTGAAATACACACACGCACACTCACACACACCCCATATTGTTTGTATCAACAGCCACGCTTTAACAAGGTTCTCACCAAAAAAAAAAAAAAGTTGGGGAAGTGGCAGAAAGGGAGGGGAGGAAGTGAGAGAGAATGGGACAGAGAAAAAGATATTCAAAGAAGAGAGAGGGCATGAGCAAAATCAAACCAAGTAAATGAGCAAAACTGCATCCCTCAATCAACTTCTGGGTTCCAGCCGGGCTGAGGACAGTGCTGTTTATAAGCACCATAAGACGGTGTCACATGGATCTGGGCTTCAAATCCCACCTCTGTGACTTATCCTCACAGTTGCAGATGACTCCCAGGAGAAAGGTCTGGAGACTCAACAAAGTTAGGTTTGATGAAATGAATGGCCATAGTTAAACAGGACACCGCTGAGGACGCACCTGGTCGCTGCGGGCCACCCCATAGCGCAGCCCGTTCACAAAGTGCTCGCAGTTCTCGCTGGTCAGCTTGTAGAGCACCTCCTGTCCCACCAGCTCCTCCGCGCGCTGGATGATCTTGCTGGGAGGCAGCGGTGGGTACTTGTCGTCATGCTTGTTGTTGACCTGGTACTTGTCTCTCCCGGCCACGTCATACAGAAGTTCCTTCTTCACCATGGCCTTGTCAGTCAGTGCGGACATGATGCTGGCCGCACCAGCTCCCGCAATTTCACCTGCAGATCCACAAAGAAAAGACAGGGATTTGTCCTGGGCAGACCCGCAGGGGCTCAGAGCTGGCCCACAGCTGGGCATCTGCCCTTCACACCACCCACAGGGGATGAGCAAGAGACGTGGAAAGGATAGACATGTGGCTGTGTGGCTTTGGAGAAGGTGCTTGTGGTCTCTGGTTTCCTTATCTGAAATGAGGAGTAGTGGAGTTCCGTGATCTATTGTGACTTTTTTTTTTTTTAAAGATGACCAGTAAGGGGATCTTAACCCTTGACCTGGTGTTGTCAGCACCACGCTCTCCCAAGTGAGCCAACCGGCCTTCCCTATATAGGGATCTGAACCCGTGGCTTTGGTGTTATCAACACCACACTCTCCTAAGTGAGCCATGTGCTGGCCCTTATTGTGATTTTTTTTTCCTTTTTGTCTTTTTTACTGACCGGTAACGGAATCGCAACCCTCAGTGTCGCGCCCATACCGGGGACCGGCAACGGGATCGCAACACTTGGTGTTGCGCCCGCACCGCGCTCAGCCAGTGAGCGGGCACCGGTCTCCACATGGGATCCGAACCCTCGACAGGAGCGCCGCCGTGCTCCCAAGCGGCGCACTCTCCAGTGCGCCACCCGGCCGGCCCTTATTGTGATTTTTTTAACCCCAAGAAGCTGGCCTTCCACCCCATGACACCCAAGTGGCCCTCTTGATTATGCAAATAGGAGCCAAGAGCACACTCATCTTTCTCGGAGAACAGGGTGTGAACCTTCTGTGATTCCATCAAGGGTACAGCTCCTTTACACAAAGCTGATTACAGCACAAAAGGTGGCTGAGATTTAAAAAGGAGTCCCCATCCTTCTGGGAGCAAAGGAAACAAAGCTCCACAGCTGCTTCTCTAGAGGTGATACTAAGGAGGCCCACTGGGTACACCAGCATAACCTTGGCCATGGTCCAGGGGCTAGAAGGGGCATGAAGCTCCAGAAATGAAATGACCTTGAAGAACGGTGGAGGGCAGGACATGCATTGGGCACGACAGCTGGAAAACTGGGTGCACACCCAAGAGGGGACCCAGAAGCCCTGAGAGCATCCGAGAAGAGGCCCGCTCTCCTCAAAGAGCCACTGTGGCCCCAATCCTGGAAGGGTCAGGGTGCAGCAAAAGCACCCTGTTAAACTGGCAGGACCAGACTTCAACTGTGACATTGTGACAGCAACAAGCAATGGCAGGAGGGGCTAACTAGATTCCAGGTCCTGCTCTATTAAACCTCTTTGCCATGAGTAGAATCCTGGGATTTTAGAAAATCGGGTGACTTCAGACTTGCTAGTAATAGGGCAGGTGGTGCTTGAGAGATTCGATAAAATAAATAAAAGAAGCAATGGCAGGAGGGGCTAACTAGATTCCAGGTCCTGCTCTATTAAACCTCTTTGCCATGTGTAGAATCCTGGGATTTTAGAAAATCGGGTGACTTCAGACTTGCTAGTAATAGGGCAGGTGGTGCTTGAGAGATTCGATGAAATAAATAAAACGACAGCAACAAGCAATGGCAGGAGGGGCTAACTAGATTCCAGGTCCTGCTCTATTAAACCTCTTTGCCATGAGTAGAATCCTGGGATTTTAGAAAATCGGGTGACTTCAGACTTGCTAGTAATAGGGCAGGTGGTGCTTGAGAGATTCGATAAAATAAATAAAAGAGAGGGAGCCTTAATTGAGTTTGTGGTGAGAGTGAGCATGTAAATTGGACCAGGTGAGCTCCTGGGGCCCATCCAGCTTCTGCTCCCCAGACAGGGTGAGTGACAGGGCTGGGACTAGGGTGAGACACGCAAGTTGCCTGAAGCACAAAATTTAAGGAGGTACCAACTCTCAGAGTCATGCAAGTGTAGAGTCAACACCTAAGAGTGAGGGTTTCCTTAAATGTGCACCCTGGGTGCCCGCCAGGTGGGTGGTACAATGTGCACATGCTAACTATCAGAAACTGGATGGTGATTCTGACTCTATCACTGACCAGCTGAGGGGTCTGCACATGGCACTTAACCTTGCTGAGCCAGCACTGTGGGGAGGCCCTCAAAACACTAAAATTGACACAGAAATACACATCAGTAGAGTAATTAAAACTTCCTTTTAAAAGAATTATTTCAATTTTTAAGAAAATACCTGTATTGTAAAGAATCATAGGGAGGGCGTGCGGATATGGCAAACAATTGGTGACTGAATTTGGGGAAATGTCAGACTGAGGAGTACAGTATCATGCTTGAAGGCACAGAATCGAGAGTAGAAATGCCCGGGGTTGAGTCCCACCTGCACCATTTACCCACTATGTGACCCTGGGAAAGTTCCTTAACTTCTCTGAGCCCCAATTCCTTGCAGAATAGGGACAATAACAGTCCCTACCGCACAGGGAGCTGTGAAGATTAAAGGAGTTGGCCACATGAGGCGCCTTCAGTGGTGTCCTGCACAGGGCAAGTGCTTGACGAGTGTCAGCTGTTATTATTATTATTGGAGTTGTTCACTAAGCTTCCTTCCAGCTCTAATTTCTACAATTTTCTCAGTAGCAGGGGGTCAGTGTTTGCCTCGCCTATCCCACAAGATTCCTGTGAAGCTGGAATGAGAAGACGCAGGTGGAAGCATTTTGTCCCTTCAAAGCGCATTGCTCACCCGATGATCGGAGACACACCTGTCTACCCATATCCCTGTCATGCCTTCCCCCGCCTCCCGTCCACCGATCACACCTACCAAGTGCAGGCAGTCAATTAATACTGAGGCCCTACTATGTGCCAGGCCTTATCCAAGGTAGAGACAGTGGCGTGAACAAGACAGCAGTTCACATTCAAGGGAGAGGACACTGACAGCAAACAAATACGTAAAGTAAGTTCTAGAAAATGCTATGGAGAAGACCAAGTGAAGTTACACAGGAGAGGGGGACCAGAGGAGGCTGCTGTAGCTCGGGTTGGGGAGGCCACCTGAGGAAAGGGCATCTGAGCTGAGACTTGAATGACAAAGCAGCAGCAGCTGTGCCAAGGCCTGGGGAAGAGCTGGGCAGGCTCAAGAGGCAGCCAGGAGGCCATGGCAGCTGAAATCTAGAGACCCAGCTGGAGAAAAGAGAAAGATGACCCAGAGGAGCAGGCAGAGGCCAGACCACACACACCAGGCCCCACAGCCCACAGCACAGACAGGGAATCTGTTCTACCTGTAATGGAAAAGCCAACTGAGAATTTTAAGGAGAGGAGTGATGTGATCCGATTTATACTTTACAATGATCATGCTGGATGCCTGCCCGTGAAGGATGGACTGGCTGTAAGTGGGCAAGAGGCAGAGACCAGCCAGAAGCTTCAGGAGCATCAGGCAAGAGAGGGTGGTCGCTTACACTGGGGTGTGCAGTGGGGACGGAGGGGGATGGAGGGAATTAGTCAGATCCAGGGTCTGTTTTGAAGAAAAAACCAACAGGAATTCCTAATGGATTAGATGTGGGGTGAAAAGGATCAAGAATGACTCATAGGCTTTTGGCCTGAGCATCTGGATGATGTCATCCATTGGGCTTCCATCTGGGGTACATCAAGTTCAAGATGCCAAGTGGAGAGGCCAAGTGGCCAAGAGGTTATACAAGTCTGAAGCCAAGCGGGAGTCTAGGTTGAGGGTATGGACTTAGCAGATGTGGACAAATAGAAGGTACTGGAAGCCAAAGGACCCAATGAGGTCACCTGAGCTCCATTTAGGGAAAGACAGGTACCATGTGAAGAGCAGAGAGAGGTCACTCATGTCAAATGCTGCAGACAAATCAAGTTAAGTGATGACAGGAATACTGACCGTGGCTTTGTCAATATTTGGAAGGTCTTTCGCTAGCCTTGATAAGAGTTGCTCCAGCAGGAGGGAAGAGAGGCTGCGTGGAGGGGACTGAAGAGAGACTGGGAAGTGAGGAACCCGAGATGGCCATGCAGACAACACAGCAATGAGATTTGCTCTATAGGGAGTTAAGGATGTGAGGTCTGGGTGTGTGTGTGTATTTGTTTGTTTGTTTTATCAACAGAAGATATTAGAGTTGTTTCTGTGTCAATAGGAATGACCCAGTTGAGGGGGAGAAGATGATAATGGAGAAGGAGGTGGGGAATTTGAGGAGCAAAGTGCTTACGAAAGTAAGAGGGGGTTCAGAGCCCACACGTGAGGGGCTGGTTTCCAAATAAGGGTGCTTTTTGCATTTTCACAGAAGAAAAGGCAGATTATGTGGACGCAGAGATTGGTGGTTTGGTTAATCGGGGCAAGGGAGATAACATCCACTGTGGTTACTTCTGATTTCTCTGTTAAGTACAGGGTGGCGCCATTAGTTAGAAGTAAAGAGGTGGGCAAAAGACACGTTCAAGAATGTCCACAGCAGCTCTGTTCATAGCAGCCAAAAACTGGAACCAATCTGATGTCCATCTGCTGAAGATATGTCTGGAACCAATCTGATGTCTATCAGCAGATAACAAATTGTGGTATAGCTGTATAACAGAAAATATACAGCAATGAAGAACTGCTATTTACAACACGACGACTCTCATGGGCATAATTTCAAGTGAAAGAAGCCAGACACAAAGCACGGACTGTGTGTTTCCTCTCCCACAAATTTCTAGAACACGCAAAACTAATCTCTGCAAAAGAAGCTACAACAGTGGCTGCCTAGGGTGATGGGGGTGGGGGCAAGGGGACATTGAAGCAGCATGAGGGAGTCTTCTAGGGTGACGGGAATGCTCTAGATCATGATCTGGGTCATTGTCACATGGATGGGTTTTTTAAAATCTGACTGTACACTTTACTATATTTATGTTATACCCCGGTTTAAGTAAAAAGTTTAAGAAAAGGGGTGCGAAATTCTCACAGCAATCCTCCAAGTTAAGTAATCTGAGCCTCAGTTTACAAATAAAGAAACCAAGGCTGAAGAGTAGAAACATCTGTGCCCTTTCCAGGAGTTTTATGATAAAGAACTGAATGTGTCACATATAGAGACATAGTATATAAAACACGTAAAAGTAGAGCTGCTCCCTCAACCCCTCTACAGGAATCCCCTGGGGTTCCAAGGAGCACAATTTGAAAATCCCACACCAAACTGTCTTCCTGTAATATTCAGGAACAAACCTGCGGTCAGGAAGCAAGGAGAAGGCCGGGGTCACCTGTTACCAACAGCTCCCTCCCCTCTCTTCCCAGCCCCTGGGCCAGCACAGTGGAGGCCCCAGGCGCCCTTACTTGGGGGGGCCAGGTGGATCACATATCCATCGCCAACGTAGATGGCCCAGTGTCTGTAGAAAGGGCGGAAAATCTCAATCAGGTCTCCAGGCTTGGGCTCTGGCTGCAAAAACCAAGAACAGGGCGGTTAGAGGTAGGAGGAGACCTTGGAATCAGGGGCGGAGCCCAGTTAGGAAGATGCAGCTCAGGGGCCCCATCTACTAGCTCAGCGGGAGGTATGTCCTGAGCCCTGCCCAGCCATCCTGATGCCAGTCCACCTTCACAATCCTGTGCCTCAGGCCTGCAGGGACCATGCACCTCCATTAGGGGGGCATGGGGCAGAGTTTGAGAAAAACTTCAGAGAGGGTCAAGATCACTTTTATTCAAAACTATGGACATCCCACTGTCAGATCCTGTGCTGAGTGCTGGGGGTGGGGAGAATTCCAACTCTGACCAGAATCAGGGGTGACAAGGTTCTCCAGTTTAGGCCACACTTAAATCTCTAATGAGCAAGGACACCAACTCTACAGAACACCTAGAGTCAGAGCCCATCAGAGGTGGGCTCTGGCCCCTCTATCCTTTGCCCCAGCACAATGAACGGGGTGGGGGGTGTCTGGTCCACCTGCTCCTAGGGGACAGATCTATAGGGGTTTGCCTACATCCCACCTCCAAGCTTGCTGGGCCTACCTGAGAGAGTCCATCAAGGATGAGGAAGGGGGAAGGACTCACCCTGAATGGCCTCCCTGGGGTAAAAATGACGGGCAGTTGGAATAGCCAATCACAACTCTACAACACCTATGACGCAGGGTGGATGGGCAGTTCATTTACACTTTATAGAAACATTAAAACTGCAAATAAGCATCATATACGGCAGGGGGAATATCTTTCCATGGGAATTTCACAGATAAATCATGTTCTCTTAACATCGTAAGTATAATTTATCTTCCAAAAAAGGGTACCCAGTTCTTAGAATCTATTTCAGAACAATGGATGATGGTCACATTTATGAATCCTGTTTGTTTTCCAGAATAAAAGAAAAAATATATTGTTTGTTCAGAGTTAGGGGGTCTTCAAGGATCCTCAAAGGGGAATTTTTTTGGGGGGGGCGCTTTTTTTTATTACTATTGAAACAATTGATTGTACGTCTCTGTGGAGTACAGGATTGAATATCAATACCTGTGTACAGTATGTGATGCTCAAATCAGGGTAAGTAGTACATTCAACATTACACAATGTAATCATTTTTTCTGGCCCTTCACCAATTTCTCCCTAATCAACCCCCATCACTTTTTCCCACCTCTGGTGGCCTCAGTTCCATTCTCTCCTTTTGAAAGTTAAAGGAATTATTGTGATTGTTGTATCTTTCTTTTTTTCAATATACTTTATTTTTTTAGCTCCCACTTATGAGTGAGGACATGTGGTATTTCTCTTTCTGGCTTATTTCACTTAACATAATTTTCTCTAAATTCTTCCACATTGGTGCAAATGGCAGAATTCCATTCTTTTTATGGCAGAGTAGTATTCCATGGTGTATATATACCACATTTTCCTTATCCAGTCATCCACTGATGGACATTTAAGTTGGTTCCAACTCTTGGCTATTGTAAATAGAGCTGTGATAAACATGGGAGTGCAGGTATCCTTTCAACATGATGATTTCCATTCCTTTGGGTCTATACGCAGCAGTGGGATTCCTAGATCATATGGCAGTTCTACCCATAGAACTGTACACTAAAAAGGGTAAATTATATCTTCATTTTTAAAAAGAAACTAATTAAATGCAAATTTACAATTTTTTTTTTAAATGAATAGCTACAGTTTAGAAAGAAAAAAATTGTGATTTCTTACACTCAGCAAACTTGCCTGTCCTTTGTAAGGGCAAAAGATACACATTCCCAAATATGCCAAGCTCAAAACATAATACCACTCAAGGAAACTTCTTTTTTTAAACGAAGAAAAATGTGGTGGACTCACCGACGGAGCCCTGTGCACTAGTTAGAAGCAAGGGGCCGATGTTCACATGGCAACATGGATGATCTGTGAAACACAGCGCTGAGTGGAAAAATGAGGACACACTGTGTAACACAACACCGCTTACATGAATTAAAGATATGCGCACAGAACCTGCAATACACATCTTACCAGAACCACCTGTAGTGGACTGAATTGGCCCCCCAAAACTCCCTGAAGCTTGAATTGTGTTCCCCAAATTTTATGTATTAGAAACTTAGCCCCCACTGTGACTGTTAAGAGGGGGGGGAAATCCTATTATGTAACTGAAAAGTGGAGCCTTGAAGAGGTGATTGGATTGTAGGACCGTGCAGTAGTGAATGGATTAATAATGGTGGTCAGGGGCATGGTTCTGAGGGTTTTAAAAAGAGAGTGAATGTGGAAGTTGTCCTCTTGCTCTCTCAGCTCCACCATTTCACAATGCAATACCCTGCATCACTGAAGTCACCACCAAGACCCTCAACAGATGTGTTCCCTGGACTTTGGACGTCCCAGCCTCTGAAACTATGAGCAATAAATTTTGTTTTCTTTATAAATCACCCAGTAGCAGGTATTTTGTTATAAGCAACAGAAACAGACTAATACACCACCCTGAAAAAATAATTTTTAAAAAGGTACAATAACAAGAAAAGAATCACACAAACCAAAGGACACATATTAAACACAACAGGATGTTGGCCACTGGGGAGATGGAAGCAAGGAATGATAATTAAAGGGAACAAATAAATAAACACACAAGAGGGGGTCTTGCAGGGACCAGCAAGGACAGGGAGTCATGCGCTGAAGATACAAACAATTCACCCTCTACCACTGAGGTCCAACTAGAAAAACAACTACTTGATGATACACATAAGCCAACTCAGTTGAATCAAAATTAAGAACACAAAAAAACTCATGTTCTAAATTTAGAAGTATGAAAACTACAGTCCATGGGCCAAACTTGGACCTCTTGCTTGTTTGTGTACAGCTTTCCTGAAAGCTAAGAATGGTTTTTTATATTTTTATAAATCACTGGGGGAAAAGCCAAAAGAAGAATAATATGTTGTGTCACATGAAAATTCTATGAAATCCAAATTCAGTGCCCATAAAGTTTTATGGGAACATAGCCACACTCCTATATTTACATTTTACCCATGGCTGTCCTCCGTCTCCAATTGCAGGGTTGTGTAGTTGTGACAGAGACCATACAGCCTGCAAAACCTAAAATGTTTACCATCTAGCCCTTTACAGAAAAAAAGTCTGCCAGTCCCTGTTATAAAAGGACAACAGCGATTCCGGGAATCCAGTTGTATAGGTCGTCAGGTGGTTCTGCGCCAGGAACAAGGCTTGGGCCGAGAGAGTGGGCTTCCAGACCCACAAAGAGAGCTGCCCGCTCCAGGGCGGGGCTCAGGGGAGCCCCAGCCAGCACAGTAACCAAGGCTCTCCTATGCAGCACAGGCGGTGACAACAGCAAAGCTGAGACTGTGCCCACGGGATCTCAGAACAAAAAGCCTTTATCCCCCAACAAAAGCCGTGTGGCAAAGAGCTGTCTAACAGCCATTTTCCTTAGCAAGCAAATTGAGGGGCAATTCCTGGCCTCCCAAACTCATATTAGAAAAACCACCCAAACAACCATTAATAAGAACCAGTTAAAGAAATTGTCTTACATCCACATGTACATACAGCCATTAGACACAGCAAGGTGGATTTACATGAACAGACATGGAAATAATCCAAAAATGCAAGTTGAAAAATATTATTGTTCCATTTTTGCTTAAAATACATTTTTATACATTTATAAGTAAAATGTATTATACACTATGTATGATCTGAGGAAAATACACCAAACTGTTATATATTATGTACAGTGGGTGGTTGGGATTCAGGGACGATTATATTTTCTGTTATTTTATTGTTTGGATTTTTCACCAATATGAATTACTTTGATAATGAAATTTTTAAAGATTTTTAAATAGGAAAAAAAAAACCTCATGTTGATGAACTTGCAATTTTTTAATTGGAAAATGTAGATATTATCTGTTACCAAAACCTCATGAAACCATCTCCCAATTTAGGAATAAACTTTCCTTTTAATTATTTTCTAGTTTTCCAAAATCTTTAAATAAGCAGGTATTCATTTTAGAATCAGAAAAAAAAAAAACTGAGACTTGACAAACACCAGTATGTCCAATTTTGGGCAATCCATACAATCACTACAATGTAAAAAAATAAAAACAGCCAAAAGACTAGAAATATATGTACCAACACCCTAATGAACATTCCCTCTGTGTGCTGCAGCAAAGAGTGGTTATTGTGATTTTTGCTTACTTCTATTTTTCTGTATTTTCCAGTTTTTCTGCAATGAGCATTTTGAGGTTCATAGCATGCTTCCCAACACTTTATTATGAAAAAATTTGAAACGTACAGTTTTCAAACGTTCAAAGTTGAAGGAAGTTTTTAAATGAACATCTGTATACCCACCACCTAGACTATACTATTATGTTACTGTATTTGCTTTATCACAGATATGTTCATCTATTCATTTTTCCTGCATAGTATCTTTAAGCTCTTTTTTTAAAGTGATTTAAGAGCTAAAGCACTGAGGGAATCCAGGGTGATGAGAGAGTGGTGTGCTCTAACTCCGCGCTCCAGAGCGAGCTGTGTTCCTGACTCAGAGTGCAGCCTGCATCCCCAGCTGTGGCTCTCAGACTTGAGCCTGCATGAATTACAGGAGGGGGTTGCTGAATCGCCCAGCATGTTTAACAAATCCCCTCCCCCACCCCAGGAAGGGATGTAAGTGGCCAAGGACACCCCTTGAGAATCCCTTCACCTTGGACACCCACCTCTGCCTTGGAGAGTCAAGGAACTCGCTCGTTTGCTCATTCACTCAACACATTCACTGAGCTGCGTGCCAGGCACCAGCTGGGCACCTGGGCTATGTCTATGGACAAAGCAAAGATCCCTCGTTCAGCAGGGGAGAAAGAGAATATTTTTTAAAAGGGAGAGAGAAAGAAAGAAAAAGAAAACCCGTAGTAAATAAGTAAACCATCAAGAATATTAGAAGGGATATCAAACAAAAACAGAAAGAAAAAGCAGAGCAGGGCAGGGGGCTGTAACGCTGGTGGGGGGTGGGCAGGGGTGCCATGTTAAATAGGGGGTCGGGGAGGCCTCACTGAGCATCAACCTGAAGGCGGCCAGGGAGTGAGCCCTGCAAATGTCTAAAACACCCCAGCGGGGAGATCAGCCCCAGCAAAGGCCAGGTGGAGCGTGCCCGAGGAACAGCAAGGAGCCCAGCAGGGCAGGAGTGGAAGGTACAAGCGGGGAGAGTGGTCAGGGGGCCACTGACTCCCACTGTGGGGGAGGCAGGCGGTGCAGCACCTGACGACCAATAAGGCTTTGACTATGACAGGGGCCACTGCACAATTTGGAACAGGAGAGACTAGGGTTTTAAATCCTTCTGGCTGCTGCATTGAGAAGCGATCGATCTATGCGGGGAGCACGAAGGAAGTACCCTGTGGGGAGACAAGTGCAGGTGAGGTGACGATGGCTCAGACTGGGGAGCAGGGGGGATGAAAAGTAATGAATGCCAGATCTACTTTGACGGAAGACCCAACAGGCTTTGCTGATGGAATGATGTGGGGTGTCAGATGACCCCAAGGTTTCTGGCCAGAGCACCAGGGAGGCTGGGATGGGGCTGGCTGCAGACTGAGCGGGCTGGGGAAGGACGAGCGCGTGTACCTGGGCATGCTGGGGTGAAATGCCCATTAGGCAGCCAAATGGAGAGTCAGGGGGGCAGCTGCATACCTGAGCCTGGAGCTCAGGAGAGCGGTCTGGGGTGAGGGTTATTGGTAACCTTCATGAGAACAGCTCCTACTGGGAGTTGGAGGCAAGGGCCTGGCTGAAATGGACTGAAGAGAATGGGAGGAGAGGAAGTGAAGATAATGGGGAAGAGGCAGCACCTGAGATCAGGGGGAACTTCTGTGTGGTAAAGACAGATTCAAACTCAGATCTAAGGAAGTCCAAATCATGTGCACTGTACTGCTCCTCCATGCTCAATTGCTGTGTGACCTTCAGGAATCACTTAACCTCTCTGAGCTTCTCTGGTAAAATGGGGGAACTTCTGTGTGGTAAAGACAGATTCAAACTCAGATCTAAGGAAGTCCAAATCATGTACACTGTACTGCTCCTCCATGCTCAATTGCTGTGTGACCTTCAGGAATCACTTAACCTCTCTGAGCTTCTCTGGTAAAACGGGGCTAAGACCCATCCCACAGGGTTTGTGTAAGGAATAATTGAGATAATGGGGGTGAAAGCTGTAAAGCCACTTACGCCTATGAAAGGATTGAGACCCCATGCCACAGGCTGGGTGGGTACAGGGAGGAGGAGGAGGAGGAGACCTAACTGCCCAGACTCCCCAGCCTCAGGCCCAAAGAGAAGGTGAAGGAGGGATGAACAGGAGCTGGCCTGACACATCACCCCTTGCCTCACTGCCACCCTGAGCCCAGGCCTCCTAGCCAGCAGCGAAAGGACAGTGGCAGCTCCAGCAGGCACCAGGCCCAGCTTCAGCAGCCCAAAAGTCACAGGCATTCTGGAAAACCGAGGCAAAACTCATCCCTCTTCCCAGGCTCTTGACTGCCAGGCCTCAGGCCTGTTCTTCAACACGGCAAACCTCACTCTCTCATGAATCAGAACTGCCTTTTGACTCACTTGGAAATTACCCCCCCACCACCACCACCACCACCAGGCACTCCCGGGGGTTTTCACATGTTACCTGGAATCCTGACAACAGCCCTTCCCATTTTACAGACCAGGAAACTGGGCTCAGAGCTCCCCCGCAAAGCAGTACCAGGATTCCCCTGCAGATCAGTCTGAATCCAAAGGCCACGTTCTCCCCACTACACCAAGTAACTCACAGAAAGGTACTGACATCTGAGAATAACTCAACTCCCATTGCGCGCCCTGCCCAACTCAAGGCCTGGAATGCCCTTCGCCTTCACCTCGCCAACTCCTACTCATCCCTCCAGATGGGCTCAATGGCAAACTCCTCAATGCCTCCCCAGCTGCCCCACCAGAGTGAGTGGCTGCTGCCCCGCGGCCTCAGCCCTGTCTATGGGATGACTATCTGCTGAGCTGAGCCCATGGGAGCCCACAGGAGCCCACAGGAAGAAGTGAGTTTCCATGCCCGCCCACCCGCCAGCCAGACTTGAGCAGCATGCTGACGGCCAGGACTTGGTCTAATTCACCAGCAGAGGTTTGCAGCCTGGAGGGCTGTGCTGCTTCCTCCCAGAGCCTCTCTCAGCCTGTGGTCCCTCTAGGTGAGGATGAAGCCCCAACTGGTACTGGAGAAAGGTCCTCTTTTCTCCCCTCCCCTTTGCACCTTAACTTGCTCCACTGAGATACATCAGAACATCAAGCAAACAGATTACGAAGCAGTCAACAGAGAGGTTACATTCAGAGGACAGGGAAAGCCCATCAATTTCCTCATATTATGCAGCCTCAGGTTCACTTTGGATCATCACTTCCCAGCTGCAGCTGCTCAAGTAGCCACAGATTCAAGGACCGGGCGGGTGCAGGAGAGAAGGCAAAGGCTCCTGGCCCACTCATTCTGGCAAAGTTGGAACATGGAGAGGAGAGAAATAATCAGACCAGGAAGCATCACAGGCTGGACGAAGGGGCTCAGAGAAATGTGGACGCAGTCTCATCCACAGCAGGGAGGCTCCAGGGAACTGCTCCAACAACAACTACCATTTGTCAGGCCCTGAGAGCCCACAGTGGGGAGGTGGGAGCTGTAGTCCCCCCAGCACAGATAGGGCGAATTGTCTGTAGAGAATTTAAGAACAGTAATGAAACCCACCAAAAGTCAGTATGCTTTTTATTATTACCATGTGCTGGGCATTTTAAACAATGTCAGTGATAAAATTCTGCTGCCCCAAAAGATATTTTATTGGTCTGAGTTCTAATTGCTGCAGTTACCATTGAGATTTCATAAGATACCTGAGCCTCCAATTAGCACATTTTTATTTCTTATTCTTTTAAAACTTTTGTCTTTTCCGTGGAAGTTAAATAGAAAAACACACAGTGACACAGTCAGCCCCTGACACACACACACCCAGCCACAGGTATCTGTTTCAATAGTCAGTTCCTAATGGCTCAGAATGGTTCGAGCTTTATACACAATTTATGTCACCAATCCATGCAGTCCTACATTTTACTGTGTTTAAAACTTTTGTCTTTTCCGTGGAAGTTAAATAGAAAAACACACAGTGACACAGTCAGCCCCTCACACACACACACCCAGCCACAGGTATCTGTTTCAATAGTCAGTTCCTAATGGCTCAGAATGGTTCAAGCTTTATACACAATTTATGTCACCAATCCATGCAGTCCTACATTTTACTGTGTTTAAAATAAAGACAAAACAGTCTGGTCTCCTACGTGCAAAAGCCTGGCTCATTTTCACCAAGAACTACATTTTCTTTTAAAGGAATGGATTAAATAAATGTTCACTATCATTCAGCCATTTTCTCTGATTTTTGCAGAAGAAAAATTGGGGGAATTTTGCCAAGTAAAATAAAAACTTATGATGAATTTTCTGGTGAAGATATTTTAGAGAAAATGTTTTGAATAAGGAGATATTTAAAAGCTGCTAGAACTGATTTTTTTTAAATGGGCAGTATTGCAATATCCGGAATTTATTATGAAAAGGGATTTTTATGAATCTCAGCCAAACTACTCCTAATGTTCAAGGCTTTTCCTAACTATTTATTTGCATCTCTGTAGTTTCACGTGAAAGCAGAAATTAAAAATTAAAAAAATAAAAAATGTTCTTCAATCAACTGTGAGCAAAGATGGATCGACAAATCTAGCTACACAGAATATTGAACATGAATATGCAAAGAAGATCAGTTTTGACAAAGTCATAGTCAACTTTTCAGAAGTTGTTTTCAAAAAAGAAATTGTAGTGTTATTATTCATTATTGTGACCAACCTATAGGTAAGAATACATTTTTCTCTTATTAAAAATACATTAATGCAATTAAAAACTATTAATTCATTACTTTTTCCTGTTTTTGCACTACCAAATTTACTTTGTTTTTTATTTTTTCACTAACAATTACATATACAAATTTCAATAAAAGAAAATGTTCACTGAGTGTCTTTTCTGGACATTATTACTATTCATTTCATGATTATTGCTGAAAATGTTGTCGGAGAAGAGGGATATTAAGAAGTGACCACTCCGGGTGTCAAATATGCCAGGTACACCCTGACACCAGGCAGTGTGTGCAGCTCTTTACATGGATTGAAATAATACTAACAATGATAGTGAATTATAGTTGAGTACTATAACATATATGCCAGGCTCTGTTCTGAGCACTTCCTAAGTATTAAGTGATACAGTCTTCACTCTGGGGAACAGAGGGGATTTGAACCCGACAAAGTCCCACAGCTAGGTGCTCACTGGGAACACAAGCCCAGGTGATTCTCCCTCAAAAACCTGTACTCTGAACCGCTCTGCTGCAGTCCTACCAGGGTGAAGGGAGGCATTTGCCAAGCCTCCTTATGATTTCTCATCCACATCACAGGTTAGAAAGAGGAAAAAGCCAATGCTGGCAACTTGCTGGCAGGGCTGGTCCTGAGTTGAGTCAGCTGACACCAGGAAAGGCCCCTGCAGCCAGGGCCTAGGGCGGCAGGTCCAGGCTCAGACATTCAGCTCCAGGAGCCTGTCTGGTGTCCCGGCTTGACTCAAGAAGGCGACACCCGACCTCTGTGGAGAACTCTGTGCAGTCCTTTGTGGAGCAGCAAGTCCCGCCCCTTGCTGGCTCCCTCCTCCTGAGGGCCCTGCCTTCTGCTGAGCCTGTTTCAGGCAGCAAAGCCTCCAAAACGGCCCACTCAAGGGCAAGCACTGAGTCACCAACTCCAACAGATGGCCACTGAACCAAATCTGACCTCTGATGCCTAGCAGCTGAAGGAGGTGTGGTCCCCCGTCCTCAGGGACCCTCTCTCCAAAATAATATGTCAGGCTCCAGGATGACGAGTGACCATTAAAACACCACCCCCAGCCCGCTCCGCCCCACACTTACAATGGGCGCCCGCATCTTCTCCGGTGAGTGATGTGGACCCTCAGTGACAGGCTCGATTTCGCTTTAACAGCTGCTTAAATGCCTGAGGCAGAGAGAACAGAGGTTCATTATATCATGAACAGGAAACAGCGACCCCAGGACCCCAGGGGCCGGTGGTTCTGGCGGGGACACCGTGCGAGGTTCGCTACTGACCCCTCCAGGAATAACCACCTCCCTGCCTTCAAGTTTGTCGCCGGCCCGCTCCCCGCCCCTGCACTTGGCCTTGAACGGACGGATCCCTTGCAGGGGGCCGAGCGGCTCGCAGGGCGGCCGCGGGCGGGCTGGGTCGGTGCGGGCTCCCCAGGGGCGCCCACCCTGGAAAGCCAGCCGGGGCCCGGAGCGCCCGCCGCGCCCGGCTTCTCCGCCTCCCGGCCCGCGGGTGCCAGGAAGCGGCAGCTGCCTGCGAGCTGCTCGCCTAACTCGTTTGCACCTGCCCCACACAACTGCCCCATCTCCCAGGCGGCGCTAGGGACGGGGACAGGCACCCCGCACATCTCGCCCTTCCTTCCCTACGTCCCAGAAAGAACCGCGTCACCAACCTCGCGGACTTGGGAGGTAGCGCGGCCGCCACAGCAATGGAGCGAGGTAAATGGCTACAAAAGCCTGGCCAACGTGAGGTCACCAGGCCCCTCCCCACATGCCCGGCTGACGAGCGCCTCGCACAGCTTCCTGCCCCGGCCTCTGGGGACCGCCTCTCCCCACGCCCTCCTCTGCCTGGAGACGCCCCCCGTAACCCCGCTCCAGGACCCCCGGCTCCCCACCTCTTCTCTACACCCGGACCTCCGTCCCCGCGCGATATTTAAGGACATGTTGAATGATACTTAAACTCTGTATACACATCACTGTAGGGTTATGATCAATTTACTTATCCCCTCCACTCAAGAGTGGGCTTATAGTTCAAAAACTGAGGGAGTTAAAAATATACCACCCTGGCATATTCACTATTTTGAATTAAAGGCACTTTAAAAACAGCAGATGCAAGAAGACCCTTCTGACCTCCTCTGTTTCTTAAAAGCAGATGAAATTCCCATGTGAAAGACACCCTCCCTATACTAGAAGGAAACATTCTTATTCTCAAAGGAAAGACATCTGCACAGACCTTGTTAAAATAACTCTTTTCTGCCTCCCCACATAATTTAGTTGTTTCTTCACAACTTACTACTCTTTGTCCAATTCAGTGTATAAATGACACTAACTGCTTCTTCGAGTCTTCATTTCTTTATGAATGCTTCTGTGCCACGTAAAATTTGAATTAAAGAAATGTGTATGCTTTTCTCCTGTTTATCTTATGTTAGCTTAATTCTCTGGCCCAGCTGGGATCCTAAGAGCATGGAGGTGGAGTTTTGCTGCCACCTACATCACTATATTAAATTTAAAACCATCCAGGTCACTGAGGGAGGGGCAGAGACCAGGAAAAGGGGCCAGGTCCCTGTGTGTTTGGCAGGCCAGGATCACTGTAAATAGGGGTGCTGTGGGAGTGAAGGACCCCAGGACATACAGGACAGCCCCAAGCCTCTCTCAGGGGTGTACACAACCGCACTAAGGCAAGGGTGAGCCCCATGCCCCGTCCAGGTGGGCCCTGGCAGATCAGGGCTTGAGCACTCCTCAAGGACTTCCCTCAGCCTCGTCCCTCCCTACATCCTCCCCTCCTTCCAGTGACTGGCCAGATAGCTCACTTTGTAGAGTGTGGTGCTGGTAACACCAAGGTCAGGTGTTCAGATCCCCATACCAGCCAGCTGCAAAAAAAAGAGAGAGAGAGAGAGAATTCACTAGGTCAAATGCTTGTCAAAGTATAACTTTTTGCAACTTTCTGAGAGAAGTATTTCAGAACAAAAACAATTCTTTTTTAACAGGGGGATGAAAAAAGCATCCCAGGCATATGTAATAGCCTTCCTATGCAAAAGCTAAGTTCTTTTTCCACCAGTTTGCAGGAGCCAATAGTTAGACTTTCAGAAATTTTGTCAACTGGTTGTGAAACACAGCCATTGTTAAAATTTAAATTATATAAACTTACAATTAAATAGGTTAAATTAAAAACAAAGGCAAAAAAAAAGCCATTCAAAGGCAAAGTGAGGATCTAGCAGAAAGTACTTCTAACTATCAGGTCTTAGGAGCTGGCTGGTTAATTCAGTTGGTTAGAGCATGGTGTTGACAACTATTGGGTCTTAGGCCATTGGATATCCCTAAAACCTTCCACAGAACCTGGCACATGGCAGTCATTCCATGAATGAATGGACGGATGAATGACCAAACACAGGCCCTTCCTCTGCACTGGGCTATGACTACACAGGGTAAAACCAGCTCTTGTTCATCTCTATACTCCTGCCACTCCCATGCCAGCACTGAGTCTGGAGTCAGGATGCTTGGGCCAAATCCTGGCCCTGCCGCTTGCTAGTCATAGGGCCCAGAGCATGGTTCTCTCTCTGAGCCTCAGTTTGTTCATCTGTAAAATGGGGTGATGATGATATTGCACAATATATAATGATTAGAATACATTCCCCAAAGGGAGAGCAACAAATGAAATGATGCTTATAAAGTGCTGAACCCAATGTCTGGCACGTGGTAAATCCTCCACCAGGACACACTGACTGTTCTTAACATCAGAAGAGGCATGTGCTCATCCACATCACATGATATTCACCAGCTTCCCAACAAAGAGTCAGAGGTGATGTAAATACCAGAGCTTTGTGTGTGCTATCACTCGCCCAACCACTTGCTGAGCACATTGAGCAAGGGACTATCTGTAAGGTCATCCAACCCAGGCTGGAGAGGTTTGGTTTTGAGGAAACCAGACTGACTCCTGCCTGTCCTCACCTTCTGCTTCCACAATGGCCCAGATGTCACCTCACTTATTTTTCTGTTGCTGTGCCAGAGAAAACAAAACAAAAAATATCAGGGGTGGGGTGGGGGAGTCAGGACTGTATATTTTTTTCACACAGCTCTCAAAAGGGAGCTCTGTAAGAAAGGCACTAGGTCTCACTGAGAAGCTACCACATTATGCTCGCATCACCGTTAGCAAGACTGTCCTTAGCCTTCACACTAAGGGGGGTGGACAGTTGGGACAGCCATGCCAGAATCCACCTAATATCTGACTCCAAAGCTTCCAGGGTTTTCTGCACACCACAGGTATGGAACCCCATTCTTCTTTTCATGATGGGGTCGGGGGGAGAGAATATTAATTTTTGAGTATTTGCCATCTCTCCACTTTCTGCCTTCTGAGGATGGACCCTCCAGGAGAATCCATTGTTTTGCCGTCTCTCTGAGGGAGGAGTAACAAAGCAAGTGGGAGAAAATGGCACAAGTCTAAACTGCTGTATGGGCATAAGAGACCCCATAGGGACTATGAGGCGGGGGGGGTGGGGGTAAAGTACAAGAAGGAAGCCAGGGCAGAAGGAAAGGAGAGAAAGCAAGCAGGTGAACTGCGTTTAAGGGGAGGCTGTTTGCAATGCCTCTTTACACACAAGGAACAGAATTCATAGATTTCATAACATGAGGGTTTCTGTTGCTTAACAGCAACTCTCTGAACGGGAGCACTCCCCAGGGGAAAAGTGCTCCATCAGCCAACTGCATACAGGGTTTCACTGTGTCCAGGCTACTGTGATAAGTAAGCCTTTTTGAACATGCCAGTTTTGACAGTTTGCTCTAACCAGAAAAATGAGGCTTTTACAAAAGAAAAGTAAGGTGAAATGTAACCTCCTTCTAAATCTTTGAAACCTCTCAAGTTCTACGGAAGAGACAAAACAAATCCCTATGAAATGTCTTGAAAAGCTTCCACTGCATAAATGTACAGCATAACCATCTCTACTTTCCCTTAAAACAACATTCCAGAACATTTAACCTGGGAACGTCCCAGGCTCTCTCAATTCAACGTTTGTTGAATGGCCAGTCTGGGGAACTAGTAACTGCAGTGGGCATTTGTTTGGGTCTGCCCAGCAGTCTTTCATTTGGTGGCTCTATGTGGTTCTGGTGGAGATGCCAATCATAGGACCCTATCACCCTGGCTAGAGACACCTGATTATCATGCCCCAGCCTCCAGGCTATAGTGTTGACCCTGGAAGGAGCACAACTCAAGCCATGCTAATCAGAAGCCTTCTCTAGAATGGATATGTGAGCACACACACATATTTTTAAATAGGCAGTAGGGTTTTTTAAAAAACTCTTTCCTCTGGGGAAATTAAAGTGGAATGATACAAACCTAGAACCATTTGTGTCTGCCTTCCTCTCAGGAAACACATCTGCAACAGCAGATAATTCAGCCACTGCACATTGAGATAAGGGCCCTCCTTTGAGTTGACATTCCTCCAGTGCCTGATGTCAGTTTTGCCCCCACACATCCAGTTACAAAAAACTTCCCAGTTAGAATTCCTTCTTTTTTTGATTAAGCTGTTAGACTTGTCTTCTACAAACTGATACATGATAATCAAAGGCAAGCCTTAGTTTTCTTGCCTTCTCCCCGTCCATACATGACCACACTCCTCGCCCTGGTTTTTCCTTCTTCCCAGCTTATGCTGAAGAGTGGGCATCAATCATGATGGTAGCAACCAAGTATCAAACCTTTATTTTCATCATACTCTTCACATATCAACCTGTGAGTTTGCCCCTTCTCTGCTAAAGTGTGATGAAATCGAGTGCAGCACCAGGCATAGTGCCTGACACATGCTCCCAATCAGGAATGGACGGTTGGATGGATAAAGGCTGCTGACCCCACCCAGTGTATGTTTCAAACCAGGGAAGAAATCTTTTACTATAGGGATAAATTGGGTATGTCTAGCTCTTAGCCATTATTTGAGAAGTTCAATGCAACCTCCTCCAAGGTCACCAGGGAAAGAGAAAGCTTACAGTAGAGCTCTATCTGTCCCCACCACAGCCCCCAAAGAGGAACCATTAAAACAGCTGGCTCCAGGTGGGTCAAAGCGAAATGCTACTCATTCAAAGGCCCTCACAAGTCCATGTTATAAATAAAATTTGTGCTCATGTTTAAGCAATCCCACAAACAGCACAGCCTCCTCCAGCACTATGCTAGTAAAACACTAATTCAGTATTGTTTTGTAGATCAGAGAAAGCTAACTTGAACCACGTTGCACTACTACCTTTGACACCAAGTTATCCATCGCGCTGGAGATCCTATTCACTTTGCCAAGCCCTGTTCTATTTCACAGACCCTCCCATATTAAAGAAAGAAACAGGAGGCTGTAGCTGCTGAGTGCACGGAGCAGGAGCTGGCAAAATCCACAGCTGTGCCCTTCGGATGAAGTTGTATGGAGGCAGCAGGGGAGAAGAGGGCATCAGTGGCCCTTCTATTTCACAGACCCTCCCATATTAAAGAAAGAAACAGGAGGCTGTAGCTGCTGAGTGCACAGAGCAGGAGCTGGCAAAATCCACAGCTGTGCCCTTCGGATGAAGTTGTATGGAGGCAGCAGGGGAGAAGAGGGCATCAGTGGCCCTCAGGCCAGCAATCCCACTAATAGGGTTCCCATGGACCCACACTGGAGCGAGGAGCCACAGCTGAAAAAAAGTAGCCACTCAGAGGCTGGTGAGTCATCACAAGGGACCAGCGTACAGCCCGTCCCATGGGCAGTGTTTGCAGCACAGGCAGTAGGGGAGATGGGCCCACTGGGGAA